CTAACCATAAAGAATGTAAGACAGAAAGAAATTGATTCTTGTCCATCAAGGAGAATCTTTTGGATATGGGATACAAAACATGGTAAAAGGATTTGGAACCCAAATTTTATGAAAAGATCATTAAAAAGGACTTTCTCACTTCAACCGAACTTTTCTCCTGGTGCATGCAAATAACATTTCAGGGTACTGAGAGAACTTGAGAGTGAGGTCACTAAACTGCTCTCAGTGATCCATAGAGAACCATTGCCAGTGGAAGATTTTCCAGAAGTCCAATATTAAAATAATAAATTTCTCCTAATAATCTTATTTTTAAAAATTTTATTGCAAAAATTTTCAACCATATACAAAACAAGGCAGTACAAAGAAATCCCATGTACTCATCTCCTAGCCTTAACAACCGTCAGTGTTTTGCTGTGTTTATTTCACCTGTCTTCCCAACACCCCTTCCCTTGTTTTTTCTTTATTTTTTTTTCTTTGACTGGAGTATTTTAAAGCAAATCTCAAATCTCATGTAATATCATCATATCAACCCTAAACACATCAATACGCATCTCAAAAATAAGATAATTTTTACATAACTACAATGTAATTTTGCACTTAAAAGTTAATAATAATTCATTAATAACTAATACCGAGTCCATACTCAAATTTCCTTGATTGCCCCCCAAATTTTAGTTGGTTTGTTCAAACAAGAAGTCTAATAAGGTCCACTTATTGTATTTGCTTATAATGTCACTTAAGTCTTTTTTAAGTCCCTTTTCATTTAAAACAGCACCTTCTCCCATGTTTATGCCATTGACTTGTTGAAAAACTGAATCAGTTATCCTACATAATTTCCTTTATTCTAGGTTTGTCAGATTGCTTCACTGGAGGTTATATTTAAAGGCTTGATTAGATTCAGATTCAGTTTTATTATGGCAGTCATATTTTGTAAGAGGTGCTGTGTAGTTTGTGTTTCATCACATCAGGAGACATACATTTAGTGATGCTAAGACTGAGCAATGAGTTCAGATGGTGGCAGCCTAATCCATTATAAAGTTCCCCATCAACTACACTTAATTGTTTTATCATCCACTGAGGAACATTGACTGATTCAGTCATTTCATTAGGGGTTACAAAAAGGTGATTTTCTAACTTTATTATTCCTTACGTATTTATTGACTGGGCTAGTTTTATAGAGAATAACTTTCCGTCTTCCACCAAAATTTAATTAGTCTGAAGTACAATCCATACTGGAGAGGAAGAATAAATGCCTAATTCTTTTCCTTCAATTATCAGTTTAGAAAGTAATAAATTGTTAACCTAGGAACTTCCATTGGTGTCCATTTATTTCTCTCTCTCTTTCCCCCTGTCTTTCTCCCTCTCCCCCTTCTTCCTCTCTTCTTCTCTCCTCCTCCTCCTCACCCCTGTATCCCTGTAGTATCATTATGAACTAGTGGACTTAGTGTTTTTTCATACATCTTATATAGTTGTACTTAAAAAAAAATTTTTTTTTTTTTTTTTTTTTTGGTACGCGGGCCTGTCGCTGTTGTGGCCTCTCCCGTTGCGGAGCACAGGTTCCAGACGCACAGGCTCAGCGGCCATGGCTCACGGGCCCAGCCGCTCCGCGGCATGTGGGATCCTCCCGGACCGGGACATGAACCCGTGTCCCCTGCATCGGCAGGCAGACTCTCAACCATTGCGCCACCAGGGAAGCCCCTAAAAACTTTTTTTGATGCTTGATTATCTGTCTGTGGCCTCTTCAAGTTGACCCATGTCCTTTTGATATCACTCCCATTAGTTTGTGAGAGTTTCCTTGCTTTCTGGCCCATCTTGTACATTTTCTAACACAGACCTGGAATTAGCCATCTCTACCAAGGACTCTTGCTCGTTTTAGTTAGAAATGGTTCTTAGGGACTATAATCTGGATGCTAGGCATGCTCATTGACATTGGATTGTTATTGCTTCTAGACCTTTTCAGTGGACAGAGTTGGCTCACTATTTTTAAAGTAAGCAAATGTTTCTAGATTAGAAGCAAAGCTTCTTGATTATATTGAGGAGGCCAAGTGTTTGCTGAATGGCATTTTACAAAACTTTTCCTAGTGCTGGCTGACCTTGTTTCTTCCATCAGTAACAACAAAAGTCATTTTTCTCCTTACATAATATAATCTGTGTTCTTAAATTGAGATATTCTTGCACAAGATCTTTCTTCTAACCATTTTTTGTGTAATGTTTACTGTAGGTCACTGCTAGATGAGATCATTTCTCTTACACTTTGGCTTTTATTAAATTTGAAACAGATCTTACACACTGTTATTATTTGAATAAGCATGCATAAAAGTAGTGGGCATTCTGCACAATGACACAGTTAATTATATAGTCTGGACTATATGATCCAAACTGCAAATCAGTAGGAAGATATGATTCAATTCTATAAAATAGTGATTCAGCATTCATTGGATTAACCTTTATCAGCAACCTGCCATTAAGTTAGTTGTTGTGGAGAACATAGTGATTTGTCGTGGTCTTTTGTCCTTGAGACACTTATCCACAAGTAGAATAAAATAGATGAGGTAAATATTGATTCTTTACCAAACCTAAGTATATTAATGTTCTTGGGATTTGAAACTTAAGGTAGGCTTAACTTATGGAGCACTTCTTTATATAGTAGGCAATAAACTATCAAAAGTCAATATCCTAGAGGGTAGTCAGGTTGAAATGATGTATGTGAATTATAAATTCCTTAAAGGTACTGAGGAAAACTAGGACTTTCCTTATATATCCCAATTTATTCCTAACTTTAAGAAGTTGTCATCTCAGAGAAATGACAGCTCCACTCTTGGGCACAAACTACTAGGATGGAATGACAAGTGTTCTGACCTAGAGTAGCATCTTTTAAAATATTCTCTTGGTCCTCAAGAATAGTCAGTGCATCACAGATGGTTCCAATAAACTTCACCAAATGAAAGAAAAAAGAGAACTAATTATACACAAAAGTTGGAGTAGAAACTTTTTTTATAGATAGTTTCAGTTTGACAATTGAATTAAGAAATGAGAAAACATTGGCTAGAGATCATACAGCTTTTTCTCTAAGCCAAAGTTTGTGTCTCATTAGAGTCCTCTAGTATTAAGAATTTTAATCAGAGTTTGAAGTTTATTAAATTCATTATATGCCTTTGTGAAAAGCATTATCCTAGGCACTCTTCGGAGACTGGGTTAGGGATGGGGGAAGGTAACAGTAAATAAGACATAGACACCATATGGAGGAGAGGAGAAGGTAACAGGATAAGTAAAACATATCCTTAGCAATTAAGTTGTTTGTAATGAGGTAAAGAAAACAGATTTATAACAATTAATTGCAATGTACTATAGTGTAGAGTGAGAAAAGTGCTGAAGAAGAATTACAGACAAGCTGTTGTAGGAGTATGAAGGAAGGGGAGACTGATTCTGAATGGTAGGTGATTGGAAACACTTCAAGGAGGAGGTGGCATTTGAACTAAGTCTTGAGAGATGAGAGAGAATCTTAGAGGTGGAAACTTAAGGAGAAGGGCATTCTAGGTTGAGAGAATGGCATACCCCAAGGAATTAAGGGATGTGATGAGAGATGAAATTGAAAAGTTAAGTTTAAAGCAAAATTATGAAAGTCCATAAATATCTTACTAATAAGGCTGGATTTTAATTGTCTGCCCCTTAGGTTCTTTCTCTAGGTCAACAGTCTTCATTTTATATTCTCCTAAGTACTCTATTAATAAATGATAGTGTTTTTCTCCTTCACATTTCAGAAAACGTACCCATCTTTATAACATTTTTAATAAAAACCCACCTTATAACTCTTCCATGCATGCCAATAGGCTGATTTTCAAATTCTTCTGATAAGAGAAATTGCTAACACTATAAATTGGCATTTTTTAATATTCTGCAAAGAATAGTGCCTATCTGAATATATTAGCATTTAATGTTAATATGAGTTTTTCAGGGAATATTCAGATGATATTTGTGAATATTATTCCATGTAAAAATGGGGAAAAAATGAATAAATACCACACTGGTTTAATGAATTCTCTCAAATACCTTTCTTTGCTATTTTCCCTCCTGTATTTATAAATTTGATGTTGCAAAGTAGCCTGTTTCCTAAATTGTAGGAAAGAGATTTTATTCTTGATTCTGAATTTCATGTAAATATTATTTTATTATTCTTGAATCCTCAATTTCCCTCACCCCAAATTTATTCCTCACCCTACCCCAACTACAACATCTACAAGTTTTGTTGACTCTTCCCCTGAATAATATGCATGACCTGCCCACAGTCCTCTATTCTACTACTGCCACCCCAATCCAAGCCCCCATCATCTTTAGCTGGGCTTCTGTTCCTCCTACTAGCTAGTCTCCCTGCTTCCACTCTAGCTCCCCAGCTCATTCTTCCCCGTTTTACAAGATTCTCCACAGGTAGCCAGAGTGATCTTTTTTAAAGCATATGATAGACTGTGTTAATTGCTTTCTTTAAACTATCCAAAGGCTTCCTATCACACTTAAAAATGAAACTCCTTACCTCGGCTTACAAAGCTGCTGGTTCTTTCCTTGGAGCCTTTGCACAGTTAGTTCCCTTTGCCTGAATGCTTTGCCTCTTCCCTGACCACTCAGTCTAAAGTAAAGCAAATTAAGTACACTCTATAGTGTACCTATTTTATTGTCTTCAGTTTCACAGCACTGAAGTATATGAAATTATCTTTTCATTGTTTATAGTCTGTCTCCTTCCCCACCAGAAACATTTGCACTAAACTGTGAATGCTAGGAAGGCAGTGACCTTGTCTGCTTACTATTCTATCCCCAGCATCTGGAATAGTGCCAGGCACATTGTGGATATTTAGTGGGTATTGAAAGAATGGTTTTTGAATGAACTGTGACAAATGGTATCTATGCTTCCATTAACAGCAGTATTGAAATGGTTCTTTTGATACCATTAATATTATTTTGTTAATAAAACAACATAGTTCTCTGTTTCTCTTTTGTTTATGCTTTAGATATGAAACCCCACAGATCGCCTTACGTTGTGGGATTATGCTGAGAGAATGTATTCGACATGAACCGCTTGCGAAAATCATCCTCTTTTCTAATCAATTCAGAGACTTCTTTAAGTATGTGGAGTTGTCAACATTTGATATTGCTTCAGACGCCTTTGCTACTTTTAAGGTAATTTTTTCTGAATCAGCTGGGTTATTTAACTTCAGCATTTAGTCATTTGGCCTCTAAGAGGCAGTTTAACTTTTAAAAGCAGAAAATTGTATTCCTTAGGTCAGAGCATAGCCAACTGTGTATGATGTGGATCATAAGAGGATTCAGTAAATAGAATGCAATTAGACCCGTCCGTCACATTGTGGAAAAAGCAACTCAAAATGCTTGTCATAAGCTCATATGGGCTTATGAAGAAGACAAAGACACAGAGTAAGGAAGAAGAAAGTGAATGAGAAGAGCAAAGAGTGAGGGAAGGAAGGAAAAGAGGAGGAAAGGGCAGGGGACAGACTCTAAGGAGAGTTGGCGGTGGGTGGAGGGAAGAGGAGCAGTGAGGGCAAGAAACATGGACTTGTGCTCAGGGTGTTCAGAAGCCCCAGGAGCCTTCTCTGTTTCATAGGTGACAAGTCTCACCCGGAAAAACAACAGTTGTTCAGTGGCTACAGAGGAAGCCCCCAAGAGTATATCTAGAACACATGGTAGGAGGGGCCTTGGTGCATCAAATAGGAAGAAGGACATTTATCACAAAGGATGGCTCCATTTCTTTCTAGCAAATATCTGTGCCTAAACAACTGAGGAGATGTTCTCTATTAGTAGCTACTGTAGTGCCATTTTTTTTCCTTTTCTATCTGATGACCCTTTGCTGTCATGGAAACAAGTTAGTTCCTTTTTTAAAAATCCATAAATAAGACTTCCCAAATAACTGTAAACATAGAACAACTCTAATGGAGGGGGAAGATCAAATTCAATTGAGCATTTATTTTTGAAAATTTCCCCAAAGCTTTTTCGACATTTAATAGAATAAACTGTAGTTGATAATAGTTGCATCATATGTTCAGCTCAGTTTAATTTTCAGCACAATATTGAATCACAAAAATAAACTATGGTGATTTGTACATGAGCATATTTTCTGTTGAACTTAAGTCAAGTCCTTGAAAATCTAAATAACCTTAAAAACTTTCCTAGTATGCTACCGATATTGAAAATGCCTATTTTCTATATTTTACCAAAATGCTGTGGTTAATATAATGTAATGACCATAAGTCACTTTTTTTTAAGTAGCTTGTTTCAAGGGGATTTGTTTACTTGGTTGGCTGGTTGGTTTGGGCTTTTGTTTTTAACTTCTTAGGCTTAACCTTTTTTGTTTTGAACTTCAGGATGACTACTGCCCAGTTAGTCATTGGTGTTTTCACATTGTTGGCTTATGTTTTTGTCATGGTATTGTCTACAAATTGTCCTTTCCCAAAAAAAGATTCCTTACAACCACAGTCTCTTTCACCTCTCTCTCTAAGAATCGACATGATAAGAAGTGGTATGAATTCCATCTCTCTCTGCACCTGACTTGCTATATGTCCTTCATCTGTGAGATGAGGAAAATAATCTGTTTTTGCGGAGTTGTGAAGATTAGAAATAACATATGTAAGGTGCTCGGCACACTCTCCAGCACGTAGTAAAAACTCAATAAATGCAGCTGCTGCTGGCTGATGTAGTATGGTGTCCCTGCCATTGCATGTCCGTCTCTGTCATTGCACCCTGAGTTCTCCCAAGCTGTTGAAGAATTCACTAAAATATCAATATCAACATTTTTTTAGCACAATACCTAGACTATGCAGAACCTAGCCCTGTCAAAACAATTGTTAGGAGGTGGGATGAAAGAGTACACTATTTCAAATACTTTTTTTAAACTTTAAATTCTTTAAAATTTGAACTTTATTTTTCTTGGCAATTTTCTGATTTTTCCTTTTTGGGTGGGATCCTAGCAGTTTTTCTCCCACTCAGTTATTTGATCTATAATAATGCAACATCTATATTTGTCTACGTATTATGTTTATATACATGTATTATGTTATATATGTGTGTATGTGTGTATATATATATATGGTATAATCCCTCCAGTTTTGGGCATACATATATTATGTATATAAATTGGAGGGTATATCTATGTATATATAATGTATACACACTCAAGTGTAAGAGTGTATGTGCACGAATCATTTATTGGCTGTATCCATCATACACGTGTGCTGGAGGAATTCTACCCTACCATATTATATTTTCTATTATTGGATTTTAAAGTTATTTTTTTCCCCTTAGAATTTGAAGGAGCTGCTACTAACAGAACCCCCTCCTTATTTCTCTTTCTTTGGTGTAACACTAATGTATAGTGAATGGAAAACCTTTCCAGGCAGCACTCATCTGCAAAGTACTCTTTCCGTTGCCACCATCACGGTATGTGCAGGGCCTGAGGCCATGGGAGATCATGGTCCTCATACCCGAGGCTGATGACTGTCATAATAGATGCAGAACCCCATGGGTGCCATCCACAGTGTCTGCTGCAGCCCACGGAGAGAACTTTCTAACCTGGGTCAGCTTAGAAAATCACTGATACTGCTCAGGAGATTGGGGAAGAGAGTATCTGAAAACTAGGCATCCCGAATATCCACTTAGAAAAAGATTAGGGACCCCAAAGGATGCTGTGGAACTACCTTACTCTCTGAGGTATCCCCTGACATAGGAACTGGTTTGAATTTTGACCTGGGATGGACAAGGAATGAATTCCTTAGAGGATTTTCCCATTTTAAAATTGCGATTCCAGAACAGTATTACATGTTCCCCTGAGGAAAAAAGTACATTTCTCCACTGATAGGCCCAGTGGTCAATCAAGTTGTGATGAAAGGTAATATGAAATGAAATTAATAGCCAGTCTCATTATTTTTGAACTTGAAAATTGTAGTGCAAACTAATGAGGACCTACTGTATAGCACAGGGAACTCTATTCAAATAATCTGTAATGACCTATATGGGAAAAGAATCTAAAAAAGAGTGGATATATGTATATGTATAACTGATTCGCTTTGCTGTACAGCAGAGACTAACACAACATTGTAAATCAATTATACTCCAATAAAAATTTTAAAAAATAAAAATAAAACTGAAAACAAAAGAAAATTGTAGTGCAAAGTGCTTTAAATATTTAACTTTTTATTGAAATAGAAATGTGAGTTTTACCATTGCCGCTGCCTTCTTTTTCTCTGTGAGGTTATGTTGTGTATCTTGTATATGCTTTTAAGAAGCTTTAATTAAATATGTATTAAAGTATAAGAATTTATTTTTGAAAACTTGAAAATTCTTGTTAGGTTTTTAATTAAATTCTGCATAGTACCTAGACAGGGTATTTAGCCCTTAAGCATGTTAAACGGATTAGCTGACGCTTGTTTTCTTTCAACATTAAGGTGAATTAAGGATATAATTTAGGTGTGAATTTTCAGTCAAACATTCCTTTATGCTTTTGTTCAGTTTTCCGAGAGTTATGTCTGTAGTTAGATCAGGCTACTTGTCTTCAACTTTGAAAGGGTGCATTGTGCTACTTAGTAACTGAACAACACTTCCCAGCACATTAACCCAAGAGCGGGATGATGCTGAGATGGCCCTGTTAAATGTCATTCTTGTGCTTCCCAGCATCCTAGGCACTTACGTTTCAAAAGTGGTTAAGAAAAATTAAAGGTTAATCATTGAAAATCTGTTAACTTGTGAGATATGGTTTTAGTCCATTCAGAATTCTTCTTTTAATAAATGGTTATTAATGACATTTTAAAAAGATTGTCATAAGCTTTATTTGAATATTTATTATATCATTTTCACAATGTAGAGTTATGGCTTGAAGAAATATACTGTACACTTGTCTGCTAGGTGACATTTGTTTCACTAGTTGAATTATTTCTATGGTATGAATTTAAAGCACTCTGCTGTTTTTAGCATGAAACAAATTGTATTTCACAGCTTAAACTAAGAATGGAAGTAATTTTGTGATGTAAATGAAAATATTCTGAAACTTTTACGTTTCAAATTAATGGACTTGGAAAATCTTAGAAGAAAAAGATAAATTTACAAAATTTGTTACCTATAATAATTTTGTTTCACTTGACTGTTCTTTTTCTAGGATTTACTGACCAGACATAAAGTGCTGGTAGCAGACTTCTTAGAACAAAATTATGATACTGTAAGTAGAAGTCATTTTTAAGTCTTTACCTCATTCTCTCTTCCTCTCTCTCTCTCCTTCTTAGATCTGTAAGCACTTACTCCTATTTATGATACACAACTGAAACCAACCATACACCTGATTGGTTTATTACCTAGAAGCCGGGTCATCAAGAAACTATGGAAAATAGAGGATGGCAGGAGATCAGGGCTTTCTCGTTTTTCACATCTCTTCCTGTTGTGCTCTGGAGCTCCAGGAAACAACTAGTACCTGCTCACTTTGATCTTGACTTAAGAGCATCCATGTTGCCCTTAAGAGGCAGTAGGAAACTCCAAATGGAAGAGCACCCCACCTTACTAATATAAATCATTTTACTTGGTTTGATAACTAGTTTTACTTACTAGTAGAAATACCAAAATACATATCTGTCTTCCAACTCCCTTCTCTAAGGGTGAATCCATCTCAACCTTTTGATAATTAGCTGTAATTGTTACTGAACCAAACTCACCCGACGTGCAGCAAAACCAGTCTACTGACACCGGGTTGTGAAGGAAAATTCAACATTTATTGCAAGGCCGAGCAAGGAATGTGGGGCGGCTAATGCTCAAAAGACCCCAGTCCCAAATGGTTTTCAGGGAAGGAGTGAGGGTTGCGGGGTGCCTCATCGGCTCATGGACAGTCTTCTGACTGGTTGGTGGTAAGGTGACAGGGTGGTATTTCAGGGGTTAACATTATCAACCTTTTGATTCCAACCAGTATGAGGTCTACATGCCTGTGGACAGTATGCAATTAACTTCTTCCACCTGGTGAGGGTTTCGGTATTTGCAAAACAACTCAAGGATATGGCTCAGGATATTATCAATAGACCTTGAGGAGGAACAAAAGATCCTTGACTTTGTCTTATGGTTAAATATTATTATTTTGTCTTGCTTGGCTATTTTCCTTTGTTTCTGCATTTTCTCACTTCTCCAATTAAATTTGCTCTTTGAAACTCGGGGAAGACCTAGGAGGCTAAAGCTTTTCTACAAACAAGAAGTGGGGGACTCAGGAGGGTATGTTCCTGGGAAGGCCCCTCAGGGTCCTGCCTGGTTTCATAATGTGACTCTTCTAGGAAGCTTTCTGTAATCCCCCCACCCCCAAACACACACACACACACACACACACACTCTCTCTCTCTCTCTCTCTCTGTCTCTCTGTCTCTCTCTCTGTCTCTTTCTCTCCCCCTCTCCCTCCCTCCCTCCCTTTCTCCCTCTCTCCTTCTCTCTCACACGTTTTCCACATTGTATTATTATGGTGTGTCTTTATATCTTCCTGACTGGTTCTTAAGCTCTCTGGGAGGCAGGAACCTTATCTGTCAAACACAGTGGTTCAGAATACAGTATAGACTTTAGTGTCCACTTGCTTTGCTTCAGGATCCTGCTCTACCTCTTACCAATTGTATGATCCCGGACAAGTTACTGCACTTACCAAAAAATGAAGATATTAATAATACCTGCTTCATAGGATTGCTGTAGGAATTTGACAAGATTTAAAGTTTTTAGGATAGTACCATGTATTAATTTTTATCATTATTACTTACATCCCTAATACCTAACTCAGTGCCATACATTTGGTGGTGTTAAATGAATATTGAATGAACAGACCCATCCAAGAGCTGCTATGTTTTGCTAAGTGTATCAGCAATAGGAATAGCATAATTAAAGTGAAACATAGCACAAACCTAGAAGCAAAACTTTATAAGGTTTGTTCCAGTATTAGTTTAGCTGCTTTAGACCAGTACTGTCCAATTGAAATACAATGCAACCCACTATGTAAATTAAAATTTTCTAGTTAGCCACACAAAAATGTAAAAGGAAACAGATGACTCTGGGAAGATATGAAATACCCTATCAGTATCCTATGTCTTCATACATCCAAGTCACAGAAATTAAACTATGGATTTTTTATTCATAAATTGTTTGCTGATCTTCCTTTGGTTTAAGATTAAGAATTATCAATATAATCATGAAATCAAAAGTGATTTTCATATCCTAAAATTATCAAGAGAATACCCATGGGGTCAACTGGAGAATTTTGATCAAAGTGTAAAACATGAAGGGAGAAAAAGATTATTGCCAGAGATATCCAGAAGCTTCAAGATTAAAAGAAAATCACATATTTTTGAAGTTAGGAAATGAATTGTTATTATAGTTTAGTTGTTCAGTAACTATAGATGCTGGATGGAATGTTAAAGACTCATTAGAGGGGCTTCCCCGGTGGCACAGTGGTTGAGAGTCCGCCTGCCGATGTAGGGGACACGGGTTCGTGCCCCGGTCCGGGAGGATCCCACATGCCGCGGAGCGGCTGGGCCCGTGAGCCATGGCCGCTGAGCCTGCGCGTCCGGAGCCTGTGCTCCGCAACGGGAGAGGCCACAACAGTGAGAGGCCCGCATACCGCAAAAAAATAAAAGACTCATTAGATGTTACATTTATAATAAATGAAAATAAAGAGGGCAAAGATAGTTTATGACAAAACCTGTAGTATTAACCACTAATCTTTTCTATAGGATGAGTGAGATAAATGTGTTGTGCAGTTTGCATTCAAGGATAATAAGCAATAATCTGAGAGACCATAAACCCATTCTCTTTGACCCTTATTTACCTAAATTTGTCTCTGTATCTATAGTCACTTCATGTGTAATTTAGTAGTTTCACAGATGCTGAGCCTGCTACACTGACCTGAACATTAGCTTTGAGAACTCATACTCCCTAAACATTTCATACTTCTTGAGTTTCATATTTCTTTAGCAGTAAACCTGAAGCTGGAGAACATGATATATGACCTAAAATGATGAAACTGGTAGCTTGGGGAGTCAACAATACCTTACCTGCGTGTATTTGCATTTTATAGTTACAATTAAAATTTACCATGACATTCGTGTGACAGATTTAGTGAAAAATCCTCCCTGTGTTCCATGACAATTAGAATAAACAAGTCCTTTATGTAAAAGAGTATAATTACTGTGACTTTAATGTGAGCTACATGATTTTGTTTTTACTTTTCACTTTCTTAATTCTCTATCAGGAATTATCCTCAGTGTGCACAGCTTGCCCTCATCACGCACACGCACACACACCTGGCACTTGCTCCTCTGAGGACCAGGACCCTTTTCTACCCTCCTCAGCCCCTGAGCTCTCTTGCCTTCAGTTCTCTGCCAGGCTTGCTCCTCCCACCTGAGTGGTCTCTGAGTGTGTCTATGTGTGATGGGAGGTTGACACTGAGCTTCGCCAGCCACTGGCACTCTGTGTTCAACCGAAGGGCCTGGGCAGTGATTGACGACCAATCACATTAGGAAATGGACCCCAATCACCAGCGTCCCCTAGCTTCTGGGGAGAGTGGAAGTGCCCCAGAGAGGCCACTTGGGATTAACATGGCCATTATGTGGCAGAAGTAGCCCTATTCCTCTACCCGTTCATGCTATGAATTTGACAGTTTGATTCTTTATAAGTTGATAAGTGTATTTAATCTTTTCTCAAATTATTCATAGACTGATAGCTACCAGCAAGACTACATAAACAGACTTCTTTAAAATGGCATAAAATGAGTTATCCTGTAGCTCATTAGATGAGTTAACAGATGTTTTATTCAAAGTGATTTATTGGGAGGACTCAATTACTTCATTTTCTACTCAATTTCTAATTTACAGAACTAAAATAAAACAAAGAGAAGTAGCAAACTTAATGCAGAGAAATCACTGCTGGGTTTACACTCTAATATTTCTTTTCTTTTCATTAGATTTTTGAAGACTATGAGAAATTGCTCCAGTCTGAGAATTATGTGACTAAGAGACAATCTTTAAAGGTAATATCAAATTTCTTTAAGTTAGAGTCTCCAGAAGTTGATATTCTTGTTAGTAAATGACAGGTTTAATAGTGGACAAGTAAATACAGAAAAATTATTCTTTTTTGTAACTTGAGAAGTACATTCAACGTTGACTGTACTTTGTAGCAAAACGAGGTAAGTGCCCTGTTTCAAATACTTTTTGGAAGTAACAATATAAGTAATAAGTACAGAATAAATACAGGATGAGGGGTATGTTTTTATTTGTATGGAACCAAACGGCATTTTTGATTTGAGATTTTTATCTCCTATGAAATGCCTTTTGAAATGCCTCTCTCCCTCATCAGACAGGGACCCAGCAGAATCGGGCCACATCCATCTGTGAGTGGCCTTCCCTCCTTCAGTGAAAAGGTGCCTGGAAGTAGCCATTTGGTCAAGAGGAGGTGGGACAGCTCCTGAGGGAGTAGGACATTGGCTAGAGCTGCATCTGTGCCCTTCAGATCCTACTCAGATATTCAAAAGAATGTTTTTGGCGGATAATAATTGGCTGTTTTGGGTCAAGCAATTTGTATGATGCTTGAGCTTACTAAATCTTATTTTATATTATTATATATTCATATTATTTTATATTTTAATTATAAAAATATAGTATTATTTTTTAAATGTTGGAATGATGACATTATAGAACAATGCATTTGTTTCTAAATATTGGATAGTTTTAAGCTAAAGCAATAAATTAAATCTATTTTGTACCACATGTTTGTGAATTCACTTTCCCCATGATTATGTGTCAGCCTTGACCACTCTCCCCTGTACTTGTGACCTTGCTGCTCCAGCTTTACCTGTTGATGGAGAGGTCAGTGTACTATTTTCAGCCAGTCATTCAGCACTCTTGATTGAGTTTCTCCTTGTGCAGAAACCCATAGAGAGTAATCCACATAGAAGAAAAATATCATGGGTGTGCTGCTCTCTGTGCTGGAACCTGAATTAATGAGATAGAGCTCCAGGCAAAGGCAGGGACATCAATGCTGTGCTCTCCCAGGTCCAGAAAGCTTCTTAAAAGCAGTTGAAGATAAGGATACATCCTGTTGGGACAGCCGTGTACTTATAGAATAGACACAAGGACAGTCAAACCAGGAAAGCTTGTCTGTGTTACAGAGATAGTCATCCTGGCGGGGAGTGGAAATTGGAACAGTAAACAGAGGTGACGATGCTCTGAAGGGCCAATATATAGCTAATTGCTCATAAATTTTCCAAGTCCTTCCTGTTTTCAGTGGAATCTGTCAGATACTGGGCCAAAGTAGAGGGGTTGATAGGAACTAAGGTGACTGAACCAAACTGGGATCAAGAAAGCTGAGGGTCATGGACCTTAGAATTTATCCTTGTACCATTTTCCACAGTGATAAGAACTTGTGACAGAAATTTTTCTGTGGTCGACTGTCTCTAGGGCCTTAGGCAAAGTTACAAAGCTTACAGTTTTGTACCCAGACATTTCCCTTCTTGGCCTTCTTCCTGCTTTTCTTTCCTGCTGTCCTGACATCCCCTCCTACCCATGTGCCCATTGCCCTCATTCTCTTCTCAGGCTGCCTTCAACCCCACCTTGTCCTGTTCCCTTGTTAATATTTGTAAAATGGTTAGAGCAGAACCTACCACATGGTAAGACCTGGATATATTTGCTAAAGAAAATTGAAATAAATTTCATTAATAAATATTCCTTGTCACTGTCCCCAGAGTTCAGTCTCTGGACTGAAGGCACCGATCTATTCTAAATAAATAGTTGGGACTAGGGTATGAGTTAGACTTTTTCCTACCAGGATGCATTTGCATTTAAAAATCAAAGCCTATTAACCCAGTAGATGTATGATTAGTACAACATTTAATACAAATTTAGCGGGTTGCAAAGGGGAGCAAGAAAGACTCATTTCTCACCTCTGTCTGCTGCCACCTGGCTCTCCACCATCCAGCCTCTCTTCCTCTTTTCACATAGTTCTCCAGCTGAAGACCTCAGTGCTATTCCAGTGACATGGCAAAGAGCATCTGACTTTGTACAGCATGTGGTATAGAAAGTCTCCTTTAAACTCTCCCTTTTCAAGCTGATTGTTTGTTTTCTACTTATTTACAGATGCCCCAGCCCACTCATAAGGCTTCTTTCTTGTTCTTTATTAAGGCACCCACACATACTACATGAGCTGCCATTCCCACTTAAAATCCTTTACAGTTGACTGTCTCACAAATATTTGATTTACAACGTGGTAAAACCAAGCACTGGTTAGACAGTGAAAAGCACTAGTAAAAGGTAGATAAAGTATATCAAGAATGTAAAAATTGCTAAAATCATTACTGAAGAGTTGGCCTTTTTTGAATGTTGGATTATAGGCAGAGGTATTGCTAACATGGTCTTGTATCAGTCTATTCAAGGAAAGAGCTCTTTAAGTATTGTTTGCTCTTTTCTTCATCTGAACATTGTTCTGCAGAGCTCCACTGTGTGCTGTTGGGTTTTCCTTTGGGTAATTAGATCTGTGGTAGCAGTATCTTCTATTTTGATTTTACTATGTTTATAGTAAACATAGTAATATTCTGTAATATTTTGCACATAGATGTTTCATAATTTTAGAAAACAAGAGAGGTCAGATTATTGTAAGAGTGTATTTACTAGGCTATTTTCTGATTCCAACATAGTTGCTACCTCCTGCCTTTTGTTAATCAAATTTTAAATTTTTCTGAACTATCTTGGGGTGCTTAGGTTCCTGGTGTCAATAAAAAATAATTAACAGAGAAATTTCTTTCACTATGTGACATAGCTTAGGAATTTATTTCTTATCTTCTTCGGAGGCCTGGTATTTAATCACTAGAAAGATTATAATTCAAAAGAAACTTGATGGAATTCTGGATTTGGGGAGAGCTCTGGTCAATATCATTAAAACACAAAGTTTTTTAAAAACTCATTATTGTGTGTGGTTTCACTGTATACTATGAAGCCTATAACATGAAAGTTAAAGAAGTAAAAAATACGAATTTTTTTCCTTTTACTTAGTATAGTATTGCTGTATAATGCTTTGTATTACTATGAAATGCAGCATTTTTCACTGTCAGTGTTAATTAATAGATTAATATTTAATGGCTAAAAGATTCAGTGTTTTTGGCCAAATGATTTAACATAATTGATTGTTTCCAAAAAGTAGTGAAATTATATAAGCAGAGGATAGATTGGATAGAATTTATATATAGGCATCCCCATGTAATAAGAATTGAAGTGCCTTAATCTGAACTTAACTCACAAATGTCACTTCAACAAATATTTATTGAATGTGTGTATGTATACAAATTTAAAATTTTTTAAATGAAATTGCTCTGTTGCTAGAAGACCTTTTGATATGTGTATGTGTGTATGCTATATATGTATTTTTGACCACTCCACACAGCATGCGGGATCTTAGTTCCCCAACCAGGGATTGAACCCATGCCCTCTGCAGTGAAAGCATGGAGTCTTAACCCCTGGACCACCAGAGTTATATTATATTTTATTATAACATATAAAATATGTTATATTTTAAATAAATATATATCTACATAGAATCTATATTTACATAGATGCTATATATATATACACACATATATATCTTTAGAAGCTTCTTGTCAGCTTTACAACCCAGAATGTTTTTTGGTTGTTTTTTTTTTTTTTGAGAATCCGGGAGCTTCCCCCCTGGAGTGTAAACATCTAGGAAGATAGCTCTCCTTCCTCTCTGTCACAGGAAACTTTAACCTTGATGCTTCTCTCCAAGCTGTAACCATTTTCTTGTCAGAGAGATAAGAGAAGTTTTATTATTCTCTACATTAGTTGGATAAAAGCAATGAGGTAAAACAAATGGCCACTTCAATGGCCGGGTGAATTCAGGGTGAACTATGAAAGGATGCACAGCAAATAGCGCTGTCTGGTCCTCTTATAGGGGACCAGTTATCTTTCACCTTGAGAGTATATATATGTACTGGATTGTAGCTGCTTGGTTGTATAAATAAGGTAGAATTTTATGTCTTCGTAATGCCTTTTTTGTAGATTACCTACAGTGTTGTGCTCTGAATATGCATTTTCGATAATAAAACTGCTTTCTTTCTTTTCTACACTTTGTAGAGAGGATTCTGTGTTGCTTGGACTTTGTTTCCCCAACAATATCCACACACCTCACACAGTTAGGTTATAAGGGATACAAACACTAGTAGGAATTGACACATGCCCTTATGGAGCTTATATTCTAAATAAGCTCATGAGTAACTCTGCACTGCAAGGCAAAGTGAGTACAACTAGGAAAAGAGCACAGAGGCAAGAGAGGAAACTCAGCTGAGGAGAAGAGTTGAACTATAGAAACAGAAGGTAGAATGGTGGTTATGGGTGGGGGCAGGGGGATGGGAGATGCTGGTCAAAGGGTACAAGCTTTCAGTTGTAAGCTGAATAAATTCTGAAGATCTAACATACAGCATGGTGACTATAGTTAATAATACTGTATTGTATACTTGAAAGTTGCTGAGAGTAGATCTTAAGCATTCTCACCACAAAAAGGAAAAGGGTAACTATGTGAGGCTATAGGTGTGTTAATTAAATTGCATGTGGTAAATATTTCACAATGTATACACATATCACATCTTCATGACGTACAATTTAAATGTACACAGTTTTGTCAATTATACCTCAGTATCAGTAAAGCTGGGAAAAATTTGGAGCAAGGGTAGTGAAGCCACAGAAGCAGAATGAGAAAGAATAAGTGAGGGGGCAGAGGAAAGGATGCAGTAGAAATGACTCCAGTCACAGTGGGTTTTGAATGCCAGACTAAGGACTTCAATTTTTATCCCCAGTTCAAAGGAATCTAGATATTTGTTTGTTTATTCATTCATGTTATAAGTGGCATTAGTAACATGAATAAGGCTGATCATCAGGAAGATACATTTGACATAATGTGCAGAATGGGTTGGACTGGGTGAAGACTGAAAAAGAGACCATTGTGTGTGCTGTTGCAGTAGTCCAGATGGAAGGTAGGAGGGTCTGAGTGAGTAAAAATGGAACGAAGGATGTTCAAGACATTTAAAAACAGAAAATTGGCAGATCTTAGATGTAGATTTGGTATGAGGAGTAAAGGAAGGAAAAGAGCTGAGAAAGATTTCAACTCTCTTCCCCAGGGGACTAGCAGATCATGATGTCATTAACAAGGAAAGGAAAGGGAATTGGTTGTAGAGATGTTGAGTGTGATAGGCCAGCTAAGTGTTCAACCAGGGCTGGGGTGGGGGGCGGGGAGTTAAAAATGTGGGTATAGAGATTAGGAAGGAAATTAAAACAGAGATGTATAATAGATTTGGGAGACATCTTTCTGGATGTCATAGTTGAAGCCACGGGCATAGATGAGATTGTTGGGAGATAAAGAGGTAAAATACAGCTTGGAAAATCCCTGCATGTATAGTGCCTAAAGGGAAGGGGAATCAGTAACGGGCAGCATAGGAACTCACTTCAAGCGCTAAGAAAAGAGAAGCAAGCAGTGGCCTTGAAACCAGGAACAAAGAAAGTTTCCAGGAGAGTATCCAGTTAGCTTTAGATGCTGAGGAGAGATTAAGAAAGATGAAGACTAAAAATTTACACAATTGCTATTGCATATGTTTGAGACTAACTGGTGACCATCTAACACCCAACACTGGTCATCATTAAGTATATCATATATAAAATTATGTTAAGGGTACATTTCAGCCACCTGGTTGCTGAAGCTTTAGGAATTGCTACCACTACAGTGAGAATAAAAGTTCAGCCATATGCTGTTAGGGGGTCTTCAACTATTCTCACTCTTGGTATTTTTATTTTGTTTTGAAGTGTATTAGTCTGTTTGGGCTGCTATAACAAAAATACCATAGACTGGGTGGCTTAAACAACAAACATTTATTTCTCACAGTTCTGGATGCTGGCAAGTCTGAGATCACGGTGCCAGCAGCAAGGGAGCTTTCCAGGATCTCTTTTATAAGAGCACCAAACCCATTCATGATGGCTCCACCCTCATGTCCTATTCACCTTCTAAAGGCCCCACCTCCTAATACCATTGCATTGGGGATTAGGATTTCAACATATAGATTTAGAGGGACGTAAACATCCAGTTCATAACATGGAGTAATGCGGCATTTTAGGAATTAATAATTTGTCACCAGAAAATGTTTTGCTTTACTTCTTTATAAAAACTTGCTGCACATATTAAATTTCATATGAATTCAGGGTCAGAGTTTTTTTCTGGCTCTATATCAGGTTTTGTAATAAAATTTAGGGAGAAGGTAAGTGTCACTTAATATAACCTGTTTTTCCAGTAAGCTACTAGAGTATATTTATTCAGATAAGGAAGGTATAATTGTAAAGTCAATTTTTTAATTCTTATCCTATGCCTAAGGAGCAATAATACATTACTGGGAAGCACATTAAAGTAAGGGATGAAAATAATAAATTCATTTCTGGCTAGCTCTTGATGAGGGCAGCAGAGAAAGCTTTTTTAAGCAGTAGCAATGACTGGCTTAAAAAAAAAAGATTCAGAAATGCATTAAGCACTGACTTTAGCAAAACTGTATGAAAAGTTTAAAAATAATAACTACGGCTTCCATGCCTATGCTTTAAGATGTACTTAAGGACTCTGAATTTTTTTCATATCAACATTCATAACTCACATTTATATTTTGTTTTCCGGTGTGAAGAAGTGGGATATATTTTGAATAAGATGACTCTCGGACAGATTCTACTTTGATTCTGTGTTTTTTGTAGCTGCTAGGTGAACTGATCCTGGACCGGCACAACTTTGCCATCATGACGAAGTACATCAGCAAGCCAGAGAACCTCAAACTGATGATGAACCTCCTCCGGGATAAAAGTCCTAACATCCAGTTTGAAGCCTTTCATGTCTTTAAGGTAAAGTGCAAGCTGCAGAAATAATGTGGGCATTTGTTTTCCAGTTGCAAATGGCAAACTCCCTACTGTGTACCCTCCTTTATACTTGAGAGAAAATTAAATAGGCAGTCTTTCTGTTTTGCATGACTTAGATGAAATTTTAGAGTTATTTTAACGAATGCCCATTTGTTTCTAAAAGATTTGCTAACTAATCCATATCTCGACATATTTTCATTTTTTTCACTGAGAAAATAGGGGAATACTGTTTCCCAAAAGTTACTAAAATAATCTGTGATTGAGTTGAAGCCGAAAACCTGTGTCAGAATTTGAATGCTTTGCTTCTGCCTGAAGTGTTTCTTTGAACTTTAAGTGAAACCTAAAGAAACACTGAGTACTACTCGCTTTGTTACTTGCTTAGAAATATTTTAATTCGTTTTGAAAGAAAAGTAGTCCATATAACACCTGCTTTTTCTTTCTAATATCTTTTCTTTGATGTTAGAGTAATAAAATCATCTCCTAGAAACTTTAAACAATAGATTTGTTTAAAAGTAGGGTAGGTGGAAGAAATCTAATCTATAATCCCATACCCCTGACTTAACTATTGTAAAGATTTGAGTAAATTTTATTTTCCTGTGCACATATTTGAAGGTTTTTTCTGCAGCTGTATTACATTGTACACACAACTGATACACTAATTTTATCACTCAATGCTATACCGTAAGTGAACATTAATTCACTGTTGTTATATATAGTGTTTAAAAAGAGCCAGTAGTTTTATTGGCATCATAGTTTTTCATTGGGTATACTTACTCTAGTTTACTTAAATATTCCTGTGTCGTTTATATTTAGGTTATTTTCAATTTGTAGCTACAATGAGCATTTTATGTATTCAGCTAATTTTTTCCATATTTAGGATTATTTTCTTAGGATAGGTATCTAGAGTAGAATCAAGGATTCAGAGAGTTCCATGCTTTTTTTTTTTGGCCTTTATAATGTATATTCAGTGATTGAATTTGTAAGTCTATAAATGGGAGACATGGCAGTTTATAAGGTATGTAATTGTTGCTTTGAGAGGTAAAAAACAATTTTAGTCCATCTTTCAGCCACCACATCTTTATTGTCCAAAAGGCTACTAGAGCAGTTCAAATCCCAAATTAATTTATGAATTCCATTTAATTACAATCAAAATCCCAGCAGAACTTTTCCTGGAACTTGACAAGCTGACTCTAAAATTTGTAAGGTAGAACGATGGCCTGGGATTATCTATGGCAATTTTCAAGGAAAACAAGGTAGGGAAATCCATCCTACCATATATTAAGACTTATTATGAATTTATAGTAAATGGAGACAATACTGTATTGGCATAGAGATAGATAAATAGAACAACAAAACAGAGTAAAAAGCCTAGAAATAAGCCTGTGCAAATATGAAATTTGATATTTCATAGTGGAGGGATTGTAAAGCAGTGAAGGAAGGGTTACTGTTAATAAATGGTTCTAGGGTAATAGATTATTCATATAGAAAACCCTACTCTCCACTATATTCAGAATTAAATTCTGGTAAAGATCTACACTTGACAAGCAAAATTTTTTAACTTTTAAAAGAGAAAATAGGAGACTTTTTATGATGTTGGGGAAGGAAGAATTTTTAAAAAGAATTTAAAATCACAAAACATAATAGAAAATAAGCTTGACTACATTAAAATTTAACACTTCTTTTTGAAAAGACATCATAAACAAAGTGAAAAACAGGACAGAATGTGACACATGTAACTGACAAATCATTTAGAAAAAGACAAACAATTCAATAGAAAAATAGGCAAAGCATGCAAGTTGGTAATTTACAGATGAGGAAACCTGATTGGCCAACAAATAGGTGAAGATGCTCATCTTAGTAGTAATTGTGGAAATGGCCATTAAAATATCGAGATATCACTTTACATTTTTCATATTGACAAAAATGTTTAAGTCTGACTACATCAAATTTTGGTAAGGTTGGAGGGCAGTAGGTCAAACACTGTAAATTGGTACAAGCACTTAGGAGAGCAATTTAGCAAAATAAAGTACTGAAAGTGTCCATACTCTTCAGTCCTAAAATCTCATTTTCTGGCAATTTCCTAGGGACAATCTTGCTCACATGCATAAGGAATCCTGTACCAAAATGTTTATTGCAACATTGTTTCACATGTTGTAAAATGGAAAAAAAAATGGGTATCTACAGGAGACTGGGAAAATAAATTGTGATGTATTCATACAATAGCATATAGTAATGGGTTAAAATTAATAGAGTTATATGGATCAGTGTAGATAAGTATCAGAAACACTGAGTAGGATAAGCAAATGTTAAAAGGATGTTATTTATTTAAAGTTTAAAAACATGCAAAACAACGCTATGTATGGATTCAGACATATGCAGTTATAGTCTAAAAATCTGCATGGGAATGATAAATACCAAATTCAGGATAGCAGTCACCTCAGGGAGGGGTAGGAAAGAGAATGATATCATGAAGAAATGTCTAATAGCCTTTAATTATATCTGTAATGTTTTATTTTATTAAAATTCTGAAGGCAAGTTTGGCAAAAATGAGAGAGCTCTATGGTGGGAACTTGAAATCTGATATGTTATTGCTGTGCTCTTCTCTGTGTTAGAATTATTTAATAAAGAATAAACACAAATTGGATGAGACAAAAATAGGCTCTTGTAGGACAGGAAAATGCCTGCAGAGTATAAAATGGTAGGCCCTTTTAAGACCCTTGCCTTTTGACTGAGGAAATTATAGAAGGCTGTGTGTCTTGCCTTTCCAGCTCCCACAGAATTTTTGTTTGTTTGTTTGTTTTTGCGGTACGCGGGCCTCTCACTATTGTGGCCCCTCTCGTTGCGAAGCACAGGCTCCGGACGCGCAGGCTCAGCGGCCATGGCTCACCGGCCCAGCTGCTCCGCGGCACGTGGGATCTTCCCGGACCGGGGCATGAACCCGTGTCCCCTGCATCTCAACCACTGCGCCACCAGGGAAGCCCTCCCACAGAATTTTAATATATCATCCTAGATGAGAACATGCTTCATATAACTTGGTTCCAAAATGCAGGATTATGGAAGTATTCAGTGGGTGGCAAAATAGAAATAACCTACTTCCATCCTCTGAGATCAGAATTTGGATCATCTCATTATTGGACAGAATAGGTGCATTTAAAAATAGTTGACCACTTGTTTACTTGTATGTGTATAAACTGGACTTACTCTGGACCCTAACTATGTTCGTTGCACTGAAGGGCAAACTGAATTGTTTACTTGCCCAAAATATTTTGTTATTTAGAAAAAGTAACAGCTGAGTCCTAGAGTTTTTCCACAGTTCTTTATTAATAGTCCTTTTCCCCAGGTACCTTTCATAAAGTACAGAAAATGTGGAACACATGACTAAAAATGTCTTTGCCAGATTATTAGTGGCCAATTTTCATTAGCTTGCTTGAAAAGTTCAGGGACTTGAATGAGTTGCCATTTCATGTTTTCTCTGCTATTGACGAACAGGATGGTATGATGGGAAAGGACTAGATGGAAGTCATGGAAGTCAAGAGACCTGGGTCTTTGTTGTGGCTCGGTTGCCACCAGTGACTTTGGGCAAATCCATCTGGATCTGTTTCCTCACTTGCAAAATGTTAAATTTTAAAAGTTAAATTAAAATCAAAAGTCTAATTCTAAGATACTAGGTTCAGGAGACCTTTGTCTCTGTGATCCTGCCTCTTCCAGAGATATGGCCAACGTGCATTTAGGGATCAGCTATGAGCTGATCTTTCTTTCCTTTCCCTGTTAACATCCTTAATAGCAAAGGACCATGTTGCCACTGTCTTTCGAACCTAGGGGGTGGGGATGGCCAGTGCCTTTTGGCTCACCTCTCAGAGCTGCTGGAACTCAGGCATGGCCATTGCCGAAAATGGGTCTGAGTGTACTGCTCCGTCGCTCAGATCCTAGCAGTTGGCCACAAGAGCCATTTCCATGAAAACAAGAAGCTCCATCCTAGCTTATTCCAAAATCCAAAGGCCAGCCTGACAATTCACCTGAAAAAGTATACAGAACAAGAATCGTTGTCCTCATGAATGGGTCATCTCAGGCCTTGATTTCAGTGTCCCAGATGCCCCAAAGGAATTGTACATTAGAGCATTAGTCACCTCTAATCAGCAACTACCTTTAGAGGCAGCAGAGTTCAGAAGCCATAAAAAATAAAAATAAGGAAAAAAATTAAACTTGAAAACAAATTGAACATTTTTTTAGGTCTGTTGTACAGTGTACAGATTCAGTAGAGTTGATCCAGTGATGCCTTGTCTGCAAATTCCACTACGTTTTACATTTATTTTGGATTCAAACAGAGATGCTTAGTTTGTTCTATATATTTAATCTTCTAAAAAAAATTTTTGGGAATAAAGGCTGTTATGAGTTATTGCTGTAGTTACCACAAATGCCAGACAGTTCCTAGCTAAAACTTCCCAGCAGCTCACTTGTAAACTAATGGTAGCCAGAGGAGCCACACGTTTGGCTCCAGTATGTGATTTCCTAACATACTAGGTGTTCTATAAACATCAGGCATTTTGTGTAACCAATGTAAAGGAGCCTGGGGTACTTTTTTTTAATAAGTAACAATTTTAATTTATGGTAGTAAAGTTCATATAACATAAAATTCACCATTTTGACCATTTTAAAGTGTACAGTTCAGTGGCATTTAGTATTTACAGTGTTATACAACTATTACTACTCTCTAGTTCCAGAACATTTTCATCACCCCAAAAGGAAACCCTATACCCATTCAGCAACTACTCCTCATTTTCTCTTACCCACAGCCCCTGGCAATCACTAATCTGCTTTCAGTCTTTATGGATTCACCTGTTCTGGATATTTGATATAAATGAAATGATATAATGTGTGGCCTTCTGTGTCCGGTTTCTTCTACTAGCATAATGTTTTTAAAGTTCATCCATGTTGTAGCATGATCAGTAGTACTTCATTCATTTTTATGTGAATAATATTCCATTTTAAGGATATATCGCAATTTGCTTATCCATTCATTAGCTGATGGACTTTTGGCTATTGTGAATAGTGCTGCTATGAATGAATATTCATGTACAAGTTTTTGGTTGAACAAATGTTTTCAATTCTTTTGGTATATACCTAGGAACAGAATTGCTCAGTCTTATGGTAATTCAGTGTGTAACTTACTGAGGTACTACCAAACTGTTTTCCATAGAGGCTGCTCCATTTTACATTCCCACCAGCTGTGTACAGGGTTCCAATTTCTCCATTCCTCACTTGTTATTGTTAGTTTTGTTTTTTTTTTTAATTGTAGCTGGCCTAGTCTCATTGTGGTTTTGATTTGTGTTTCCCTAATGATCTAATGATGTTGAGGATTTTTTCACATGCTTATTAGCCATTTGTATATCTTCTTTGGAGAAATGTCAAGTCCTTTGCCCCTTTTTATTTTATTTTTTAATATTTATTTGTTTATTTGTTTTGGCTGTGCCAGGTCTTAGTTGCAGCACACGGGATCTTCGTTGCGGCATGCAGGATCTTTAGTTGCGGCCTGTGAACTTCTTAGTTGTGGCATGCAAACTCTTAGTTGCAGCATGCATGCAGGATCTAGTTCCCCGACCAGGGATCGAACCCAGGCCCCCTGCATTGGGAGCACGGAGACTTACCCACTAGACCACCAAGGAAGTCCCCCTTTGCCCCTTTTTAAAAAAGGTTGTTTGTCTTTTTGTTGTTGTGTTGTATGAGTTCTTTATATATTCTGGATACTAGATGCTGATCATATATATGCTTTGCAAATATTTTCTTACATTCTGTATATTGTCTTTTCATGCTCTTGATAGTGTCCTGTGATACACACAATTTTTAAATTTTGATGAAATTCAGTTTATCCATTTTTTTTGTTGTTGCTCATGCTTTTAATGTTGTAGCTAAGAAACCATTGCCAAATACAAGGTCATGAGGATGTACCCCTATATTTTCCTCTAAAAGTTTTATTAGCTCTTTTTTTTTTTTTTTTTTTTGTGGTATGCGGGCCTCTCACTGTTGTGGCCTCTCCTGTTGCGGAGCACAGGCTCCGGACGTGCAGGCTTAGCGGCCATGGCTCACGGGCCCAGCTGCTCTGTGGCATATGGGATCTTCCCGGACCGGGGCACGAACCCGTGTCCCCTGCATCGGCAGGTGGACTCTCAACCACTGTGCCACCAGGGAAGCCCTATTAGCTCTTATATTTAGTTTTTTGACCAATTTTGAGTTAATTTTTGTTTATGGTGCAAGGTAAGGGTCCAACTTTATTTTTTTGCATGTGGATATCTAGTTGTCCCATGTTGAGTGTTTATTATTATTATTATTATGAAAAGGTGTTGGATTTTGTCAAATACTTTTTCTGCATCAGTTGAAACGATCATATGGTTTTCTTTCAATGTGCTAATGTGTCATCTTAGTTTCCTAGAGCTGCTATAACAAAGTACCAAAGACTAAGTGTCCTAAAACTACAGAAAGTCACTGTCTCAGAGTTCTGGCAACTAGAAGTCCAAGATCAAGGTGTCAACAGGGTTGGTTCCTCTTGGAGCTTTCAGGGAAAATCTATGCCTCTCTCCTAGCTTCTGGTGGTTGCCAGCAATCCTTGGCATTCCTTGCCTTATAGATGCATAACTCCAATCTCTGTGTCCATCTTCACATGGCATTTTCCTCTGCGTATCTCTGTGTGTTTCTGTGTCCAAAATTCCCTCTTCCTCTAAAGATACTGGTAATTGGATTCAGGCCCAAGCTAACTCAGTATGAACTGATCTTAATTTGATTACATCCTATTTCCAAATAAGGTCATGTTCACAGGTACCAAGGGTTAGGACTTGAACATTGATCTTTTTAGAGGATGCAGTTCAGTCTAGTACATGTGGTATATTTTTACATTGATTGATTTTATTATGTTGAGCCATACTTGTATTTCTGGAATAAATCCCATTTAGTCATGGCATGTAATCCTTTTAATATTATTCTGGACTTCATTCGCTTGTATTTTGTTGAGTATTTTTGCATCTTTATTCATAGAGGACAGTGGTCTGTAGTTTTCTTGTGATAGCTTTGTCTGGCTTTGGTATCAGGGTAATGCTGACCTCATAGAATGAGTTAGGAAGTATTCCCTTGTCTTTTATTTTTTGGATGAATTTGAAATGGATTGGTGTTAATTCTTCTTTAAAAGTTTGTAGAATTTACCAGTGAAATCATCTGGTCCTGGGCTTTTGTTGAGAGGTTTTTGGTTACTGATTCAACCTCCTTATAGAAATAAAAAAGATTATAAGAGAATACTACAAATAATTGTACATCAATAAATTAGATAACCTAGATGAAATGGACAAATCCCTAGAAATGCACAAACTACCAAACTGATATTAAAAAAAAAAAAAGAGAAAATCTGATTCATGGACTTTCATTTCACCTACACCATGAGCCCTTCCTGTTCCGAACTCAGAAATCTAATGTTATCTCCACCTCCTTTGAACCTCCACAGCTTTTCATTTCCCTCTCATAGGTCCTTTACATCCTGGTGTAGTTTTTCCTTCCTCATGCTTGCTGGATTGGAGGAACCTTGAGGGTTCAACCTTGTAGCTCCCACTGTCTCCATAACTGATCACTGGCCACAGTGTGTTCGGAGTAGAGTTGTGCACTGTTGGAGGTTCAGGAAGAGGAGACGGTGTGCAGAGGGGCTGGTGGTGAAGCACTCAGCCCTTCTGAGGAGTGGGGAGCCCAGAACATGAAACCAGAGAGCTATATAGCAGTCAACAGTTTTATGGATAATCTGGTCATGTCATTATATATATAGCATGTAACTAGGAAGTGTGTCCTTTGCAAATTACTGTACCAGTCAGCATTATAGTTTTTCTTTTTTTTAATATGCTTGGTTTTTTCTTTTCTTTTTTTTTTTTTTTTGGCCCCCCCCCCCCTCCATTTGGGATCTTGGTTCCCCAACCAGGGATGGAACCCGTGCCCCCTGCAGTGAAAGCACAGAGTCTTAACCACTGGACCACCAGGGAAGTCCCAGCATTATAGTTTTGAGTTATTATGTCCTGTTATTACAGTTGTCACTGTCTTTTATAGTACAGCTGAGTTATTAGCCCAGGATCATGGTTTCAACTAGGAGTGCACATAAGAATCTTTGTGGAACTTTATAAAAATACAGAGAGACAGACCTCCCCTCTAGGTCTACTGAACTGGAGTCTCTGGGAGGTGGGACCTAGGCAGTTATAAATTTTAAAGCTCCACATACATAAGAAAATAATAACATTGGTGACCTCCAGGGAGAGGAGGTGAGAGGGGGACTTTTCACATTTGTCCTTTTTGAATTTTGAGCCAGATGAATATATTAAGTATATTCAATATATTATATATATTGAATATTTTATATTTTATATATATCATTATATATTTATATATTATCTATTTCATTATATAGAATTATATATATTTATTTAATTTTATAATCACATATTTAGTTATAATGGTAATTTTAAATATATGATTAAATATATAATTTAAATATATTGAATATATTTGTATATTCTCTGTAGAAATGGATATGAATGGGGAATTACTCATTTTCCTCAATAAGTAAGTATAATCTGGGGCTTTCTGTATTTTGCTATCACGTGTAACAAATGAGACACAGGTGGGATCCGTGTTTTCCCTGATGTGCATTCCCTGTCCTAGGTATTTGTTTCTCATGTTTCAGGTGTTTGTGGCCAGTCCTCACAAAACACAGCCTATTGTGGAGATCCTACTAAAAAACCAACCCAAACTCATCGAGTTTCTGAGCAGCTTCCAAAAAGAAAGGACGGACGATGAGCAGTTCACCGATGAGAAGAACTACTTGATTAAACAGATTCGAGACTTGAAGAAAACGGCGCCTTGAAGTCTCACCCAGTTTCCTGCCACCGTCACTGTCTCATTTGTTCAGTTTGTACAAAAAGTGTCATTTCAAAAAGTAGTCATTCTTGGGAAGGCTTTGGAGGTGGCTGTTTTTTTCTCAGTTCATTGTTCAGGGTAGATGGAATATAAATGTCTGAAAGAAAAAAATTAATTTAGAATAATATATTCATCTTAATCGAGCCTGTGATTATTTATGTGAAATCAGAGCCATTGTTTTAGACATTCATAAAAGCAATTTTAACCCTTTCTTGATGAAGGGCAACAAGGCTTGCAGACCTGAGCCCTCAGTCACCACGAGCCACCAAGTAGTAGGAGCCCAAAGAATGGGTGTCACTGAGTCCTCGAAGAGGATTAAATTCTCAGAGAACTGGGCATGGGGGCAAGACGCACCAAACTGTTTTGCCCATCTGTACTTGGACAAACACATTTCTCAAGGCACCAAGAAAATAAGATCCATGTTTTCAGTCATTACATATTCTGTTCCCTGCCTATATCTTTTAACTGTAATCATTCATTTCTAACTTCCTAGGGAATTGATGCCCACCTTTCTGCTTACTGCCCCACGTTCCACCCCAATGGATCTCCTCAGCATGACCAATTCATGGTACACACACAGACACACACACTCCTCCACTCTGACCAGGTTAGCATGGGACCAACTAAGTCCAAACAGGATGGACTAACAAGGGTCATGGGCGTAGAGGACCCACGGGGTAGGACCTGCTTACTTGAGAACTTGGAACAGATGGGTAAGAACCACAGCTCTAGTGAAAGTCACTGCTGTTTCCCACAGACTTCTGTCGGGTTAGTGAATGTTTGGAATATTTCATTCATACTTCACATTATGGGAAAAAAGTTTTGTGGTGAAAGTGTGTTTTAGAGTAGGAATCATTGCATTGAGATGCCTAGCGTGTGCAAAACCATGGGTCCAGAGGGTTGCACAGGCCTTTATAAATAAGGGGACGTTGCCGTTGGAAGGGCAAATGATTAAATGCATGAAAAAAATCCTCAAAGGACTAAAAATTTTTTCCACTTTATTTTCTAATAAGCTGTCATTCTAATTTCACATCAAATTCCTCAGTGAAAAGGTAGAAAACTTATAAAAATGTTGGTCTCAAATACTCTCTTGCATACTAGAATGGTTAAGGAATTAATTTGTGTTTTTTTAAAAAGGCCATGGTTTGTTTTCAGACATCAAGTGTATAAAACAGAATTTTAAGCTATATTTACAAGACATTAAAGGCACAATTGTTAATCTGTACTTTTTTCATAATTCTGTTTCCAAATCATGAGTTATTGCCTTCCATAGGAATCTTCACTTTTTACAACATTGGGTACTGTGTTCTTCAACCAGATATTTCTTCACCCAGAGAGGGAAAGATCCCTCTCCAGGATCAGTGCCCTTGTAGATGTAGCATCTGAAGAATCACGTGGTGCGGTTTCATCCTTCTTGGCTGTGTCTTTCCGTGCCCAGCGTCAGAGCCTGAGGCAGATGCTGCAGGGCCTGCGGGACCTTCTTGCAGCAGCTCTGGCCAGTGCCGGGCCGTCTGATGACCTTCATTCTTCAGTCACTGAGGTCAGATTATTTTTATAACATTCCCTGACAGTCCATAATCTCTTCAAATTTGACTTTTCTGATTTTGTTTATTTGTTTAAGAGAGATGAGTGTAAATATTTCTTTAAAAAAGAAGGCGGCGCAATAATGACCATTGGAAATGTATTTCATTGCTTAAATACTGTTCCACACATCATGGGACACATGTTTTCAGTTGGAAAGCAAGGCCTTGTTATAATTCTTTTTTGATAAATAAAACATATTTTATTTCCTCCGAGCTTGAATTAGCTCATTCCTAGCAATCCCTTATCCTAGCTTAGTACCTCACAAACAAAACTAGTCTAAAAGGCAATAAATGAAGTAGCTGGGATTTTGCTGTGATACAAATTTGTAGATTATTAACGTGAAAGAGGGAGCAAGAAGCTCACAGTTAAAATATGTTTGCATAAAAGTCACTGTAAATACTGTGAGAATTGAGTTTTGGAAAGGTCATATTTAATAAGCTATTTCAAAAGCACACATTTAAATAAAGACTGACTAAATGAAAAGGTGCCACATATTCCTTGGTCGGTTTCATTCTTCTGCATGTCCCGCCTCTGTGTTCCTTGTCACTGCTCCAAACAGGGAAAGCCCCAGGTGGAGGGCACGCCAGGCTGCCCAGAGGCCCCACGCCCACTTCCCCTGTCCTTGGCTGTCCCATCGTCCCAGTGAGGCTCACTGCCATTGACCAAGGGCCGCCTGTCAGGCAGTATAGAAACACTTCACGTTATTGATTGATACTTCACCACAGCCAGAGTCATTCCCATTTTATATTTGAAGAAACTGAGGCCCTGAGCAGTTTATCCCAGACAATGTGGACTAGACCTGGGGTATAAAGCCACGGTGGCCAGAGGCCAAACTCCTGCTCTTATTCATTTATTCATCCTCAAGGCTGTGAACGAGGGGAGGTCCTGGGAGTGGGGAATTATGTTGTGCCCTCCCCCACTGCTGCCTGGGAGGCTCCCAGGGGTGAAGGTCCTAGAATGAAGCCAGGATGGATTGAAATCATAATGTTCTTGGACGAGGCTCTGGCTAAAGCCAGGCATCTGCCCAAATGTTGGGATTATTACCCTGTGAGAAAAGGCCAAGGGGCACTCAGCCTTTGAGCAAATGTTCTGACTGCCAGCCCTGTGGATTCTCGTCCTGGAGGGCTCAGGGGAGCAGTATATGCTGAGGAAGGGCAGCAAGCTTTCCAAAGTCTCTGTCGCCAGCCACACTGGTTGGTCTGTGTGAGACGCAGCTGCCCTGAGCCATAGTGCCGTCTGGAAACCACACAGGACTTGAAAGTGATTGTAATAAAGTGAAGGAAAATGAAATTCAAACATCACTAGGATTTTTTTTTAAATATGAAAAGATAGTTGTTTCAAAATAGGTTTACAGATCTTTCTAGTCTACTATACTAGAGGAAATTAAGATTTATATCTTTTACTTTTTTTTTTTCTGTTTTATCCAAAAGCATGTTGTATGTATGGCACGTACATCTTTTCCTGCGTGTTTTTTCAGGAAGGTTTTGGCTATTTTAATGAGGGCCCATAGTTAGATAAAGGCTGGAAACAAAAGAGACCTGGAAAAGCTAGACTTAGTCTTTCTAAGAAGATTGAAAAGACAGAAGATGGCTGTGAACAAGGATGTGATTTTGTTTTTGACATACAGACAGTGCTGTTATGTGACTACCATAATTAAAGCAAAGTATGACAAAATGATCAGCCTGGCCAGCACTAAGCCTCTTCAGAGACCCTGTCGTAACACTTCACTTTATGGAGGAGAGCACGGGATCGCAGAAGGGGTGAGTAACCTATCCAGGTGGCTGGCAGCAGAGCCAGCATTGAGGGCCAGTCTGACCCCAGAGTCCACGTCTTCGGAAATTAGGCTGCATGTCTGGGCTGCCTCCTGCCAGGCCTGCTCTTCGACTCCACCCCAGGGGCAGACACTTCGTTCATCATGGCCCCCAAGGAAAGGAGGAAATAGTGCATTCCACCTAAAGGATAACTCAATAGAAAGATTTCAAAAGCTAGTTTCATTTCAGGGGGTAACTTTGCTTCACGTGGTTGTCTGGTGTTGGAAGATCAAATTAGACCTCTGCATGGGATAAGGGATTCGATCTTGAATTTCTGTATTATTTTGAGCAATCTCTTGACTCTACACAGGTGTTAATTCCAAACCACCTTTCTGCATCTGCTTCTGTTTTCCTGACTTACTTCTCCAGTTGGACATAATATCAGCTTAGATTCCTGATAGATTGGTTGCTGCCCAGCCAGCCGTGCCTCCCTTTCAGATTCCTCAGCGGCCCAGCACCACGGGGCTACCACAAGGCAGACGTTCTGATGCATGTACAAACGTTCCTGTTGAGATCACCAAGTCCCTCATCACTCCCTCCCAGGAGAAAGGTGTACAATTACCAATACCCTGAAAGTCACAGAACCATACAAAAAGTCTCAGTCCCTTTACCATCAATTAATCCAATATCGATTGTAATTTAATCACTGCCCTGTGAGCCACCTATGTTACATGAAAGCTGTGATCGCAGGGGCCTTTTGGAAGAATGTGCTGTTGTAATATACATTAATAATGTATCCATTAGCGAAGGTTGAAAAAATGAGTTCCCCTCATTTTAGTTCTGAAATTTAAAGCCTAGATAAAGCAACCAAAATCTTTATCTATTCAACCAGCATTCATTGAACTCACTCTCTGTGCCCATCAGGGGTTGATCCACAGAGTTACTGTAGGGGGTTACTGTAGGGGTCAGACCTATGTGCTGTGGGGTCTGGGTAAGTGGCCTTCGTAAGCCTGTCCCCTGCGTCTGGCACTGGGCCTGAGTCAGCAGGAAAGGGAAGACAGATTGAAGTGGGCGCCGATGAGGACAGCTGGAATCCATGGATATGATCTGGAACCCACACTGCCTTCCCGGCCTCCCAGCCTCCACCTCCAATGCCGTGGCTGACTGTAAGACTGCACAACTCACTGTACAGCTCCCCCAGCTGAGATATGGAGCAGCTGATGAAGGAGGGGCAGGGGGGCTGTGGCCCCAGCGGCAGGGTGAACCAGCAGGCCTGCGGCAACGTCCTAAGCTGTGATGGCCCTGACCTTCCTGGTGTGAGGCTGCCTCCTCATTTCCACTTGCAACGCTGACAACTTTCTCTTGACCCCAGCCCTAATTCATCACCATGCAGGAGAGGAGACTGGGAACGTGTTCCAGATAAACGGACACATCCCAAACCCACCACTTATGTGTTGCACTGGAGGAGGTGTTTCCACATCCTCTTAATGTCTTTCTCCCCTTGAAGACCTCTGGCTGTTTTTGCCTCTTAAGTGCCATGAGAGGTTTGTGCGGTGTTGATGGACCCATGCAGACACTGGGGACAGCCACGCCTGGACTTAATCCCAGCTCCACTACAAGTGTTTGATCTTGAGAATCACTGACCTTCAGTTTCCTACCTGTAAAATGAGGCAAAAAGAGGAGCTGCCTCACAGGGAATCAATGAGGTAAAGTCTGTGATGTGCCGGCCTGGGAGACGCTCCCATGTTGAACTCTCTCAGCTGCTCT